CGTCCGCGGGCCGGCCTGCGCCCGGGGCCCGGGGGACGACCGTGCGGCGCGAGCTGCCGGCGGCGGCGGCCCGGACCTGCGGCTCCCGGCCCCGGCGCCCTCCTGGGGACGCGGGCGCCCGTGCGCCGGGGTCCGCCGCTGAGCCGCCCGCCGGGCCGGGCCGCCGGGGTGTCCGGTGGTGGCGTGAGTCGCGCGTGTCCCGTCCCGACGGGGGGCCGTGCGCCCGGAGCGTCTTGCCCGCGGTGTTCGTGTCCGGCTCCCCAGCCCGCCTGCCGCAGGGTCGAGGGAGTCTCCTGGGTGTCATGGCGAGCGGCAGGGCGGGAACTGCCTGTGTCCGCGACCCCCCAGCGAAGCCCCCAGCAGGGCCACAGTGCCCATCCGTCCTGTCCTCTAGCTGGCCGAGACCTGGAGTTGTTTGCAGATAAGTTGGGGGCTGTCAGCAGGTGAGAGGAAAACTGACCTCTACTGAGCGCTGGCCCCGGGGCGCTTCTGGATACCTTCTCGGTGGCAATCAGAGAAAGCACAGCCCCCACCTGGCTAGCTCCCCGCTTGGGAAGAGAGCAGGGCTGTTGGGGCGGGGCGGGGGGGCTGCCACACCTTTGCAGCGGTGCCTGAGTGCCCTTCGGGGAGGGAGCATGTTTTTGTGTGGGTGGACTCTGACCTTGGCCTTGGTCTGGCCAGGCCCCTGCCCCAGCAGGCCACGGTGGCTAGGACACACCCTGGGCCCAGCACCACCCTGCAGTCCGATCTGTGAACCCCTGGCCCAGCCCGTCCAGTGAGCTCAAGGGCCAGCCAGGCTGCTGCATTTGCACTTAGCCACTCCTCTCACCCCGGGGCCTGAGCCACGTGACCCCACCGTCTTGTGTGCGGGAACCTGGTGTGCTGCAGTGAGAACTAACAGGTGTCAGGGAGTGGAACAGCTTTGCGCACCAGGTGGCGTGGGTCACCTGGAGAAGCAGGGACAGTGTCAGGAAATGGACTTGGTGTGGGGCCAACTTGGGCACCACACACAGGGGAGCAAGTCGGTCTCTAGCTAAGAAGTCACTCCTTAATCAGGTCCAGATTTGAGGATAAGAGCTCTAGAACCAGCCACCAGGGAGGGGGTTGTTGGTCCCAGAGAGGAGAGCCTCGCTGAGCTTCTGGAGGCCATGGGGGAGCGAGCAGGATTTCCAAAGCGGGCAGTTGCCTTTGCTCATCTGCCAGACTCTGTTCCGCATTGGTCCCAAAGACTGGCCGCCTGCTTCAGAGCGGTAGAGTCCCGCCCCCCCGCAAATTAATGTCAGTTCACAGAGTAAAGGGGCTGCCCCCCAACACACTTGTTTGCATTCGGTGAGGAGCGGCTGAGAGCAGAGGCCAGAGCTCTGTGGCACGGGTGGGGAGCCTAGCTGTTGTGCGCGCTCACCGGCCCTGGGGGCGGCAGGCCTTGTTCCTGGGCACAGCCCAGCCCCTGTCATGCTTGTTAAGTCTGGCCCAGGGACCAGTGGTGTGGGGAGCTGAGGGCCCAAATCCCCTCTGAATGCCCAGGCTTGGCCAGACCCTTGAGGAGCTGTTCCCAGTGGCAGCTTCTCAAAGGCCTTCTTTTTTTCTTTTTTTTTTTTTTAAAGATTTTATTTATTTATTTGTTAGAGAGAGAGAGGGAGAGAGAGCGAGCACAGGCAGACAGAGTGGCAGGCAGAGGCAGAGGGAGAAGCAGGTTCCCTGACGAGCAAGGAGCCCGATGTGGGACTCGATCCCAGGACGCTGGGATCATGACCTGAGCCGAAGGCAGCTGCGTAACCAACTGAGCCACCCAGGCGTCCCTCAAAGGCCTTCTTAAGGAAGGTCCAGGGGAGGGGCGCCTGGGTGGCTCAGTGGTTAAAGCTTCTGCCTTTGACTCAGGTCGTGATCTCAGGGTCCTGGGATCGAGTCCTGCATTGGGCTCTCTGGTCCGCAGGGAGCTTGCCTCCTTCTCTTGTCTCTCTCTGCCTGCCTCTCTGCCTACTTGTGATCTGTCTGTCAAATAAATAATAATAAAAAATCTTTAAAAAATAAAAAAAGAAAAAAAAAAGAAAGGAAGGCCCAGGGGAGCAAGGCTGCACCCCCACGCCCCTCCCAGCTGCTCAGTGCCACCCTTCGCACAGGGACTCACCATCCTGTCCTTTCCACAGCTATGACATGGTGCATTATGGCCACTCTAACCAGCTGCGCCAGGCAAGGGCCATGGGCGACTACCTCATCGTGGGTGTACACACCGATGGTGAGCTGGGCTGCTGCCTCCCACTGACCTCCCAGGGCCCTGCAGGTGGCAAGGCCAGGTCCACGGCCATCCTTCTGAAGAGCACGGCCAGCAGCTTCACGCCACCTGCAGGCCCAGGCTGAGCCCCCCACGGCTTCCCATCCTGCGGCTCGAGTTGAACAGGGCAGCCAAGGGGTGACGTTTCTGGCCGCGCTGCCCACGTCCCCTCCCACCCCAGCCTGCTGCCTGGGACCCTTGGGAACGGTGCGCCTGGCTGTCAGAGGACCTGGAACTCTGGTTGGGTGAGGGGAGCACATAGTTAGCCAGTGACCACATCCTGAGCCCCTGTACTGGCCCAGAGAGACAGGGCAGTGTCCACATGGGTGTGTTTCTGCCCTCACGACAGGCAGAGGGCCCAAGGAGACAGACGGCTGCCTGCCACGAGCTCAGCAATGGTTCCAAGCCCTGCTTGGCGGTGGGAGGGGGCCCCGAGGCCAGCGAGCCTGTGGGCCAGCCCTGCGAGCTCACCTGTCTTGTCCTTGCTCTGTGTCTGGCTCTAGAGGAGATCTCCAAGCACAAGGGGCCCCCAGTCTTCACTCAAGAGGAGAGGTACAAGATGGTGCGGGCCATCAAGTGGGTAGACGAGGTGGTGCCTGCTGCTCCCTACGTGACCACGCTGGAGACGCTGGACAAGCACAGCTGTGACTTCTGTGTGCATGGCAGTGAGTGGGGGGCTGGGGCCCAGAGTGCTGGGGCCTCTCGCCGGGCTGGAGGGTGGACGGGCTGTTGGGGCCTGAGCCTTTCGGGGATCTGAGAAGGCGTCAGGTCCTTTCCCAGAAAGAGTCCCTGCGTGCCAGGACCAGCCTAGGATGAGAGTTGGGGGCCCCAGAGGCCCCCGCAGTCTGGGCTGAGAGTCCTCATTCACCCGTGTGTGGTGCTCCCTAGATGACATCACGCTGACCGTAGATGGCCGTGACACCTACGAGGAAGTGAAGCAGGCCGGGAGGTACAGGTGAGCCCCAGAGAGGGCCCCCCCTTGTCGAGGAGTAGGGCTCACAGCTCCCCCCTAACTCTTTCTGCCCACGAGGAAAATGGGCTGCAGCCTCCTCCAGGCCAGGGTGGGAGCAGGGTAGGCCGGCTGCCCAGTGGGTCTTCAAGTGTCACAGACCTGCGCCAGCCCAGGTGGTGGTCATGGGCCGTGGGCAGCTGGCCGCTGGGAAGAGAGTGGGGTGTGGCCATTACCAGACTCAGACAGCCATGGGGCACAGTCGTGGGGGCCGGGGACTGGAGCTGCCATGGGCCCCGGTCTGGCCTGCCCCCCCCCCCAACCCGCCCCCCACCAGGCACCGCACGCTCGGGGCTGAGCAGCACTTCTCGTCTATTCTGTCATGCCCTTCCGTGTATAAAAGCGCCATGGCCTTCCCCGCACTCCTGGTCCTGGTTTTCTATTGTGGCCGAGAATGGCACGGAGCTGCCTGGTTGCACTGCCCAGCTGGGGGCTGGCGGGGCCGTGCTCAGGCGGGGTGAGCTGTTGTGGGGCCTTTGGAGTATGTCCAGGATGCGAGTGCTGACCCCACTCTGTCCCCAGAGAGTGCAGGCGCACCCAGGGCGTGTCCACCACGGATCTCGTCGGCCGCATGTTGCTGGTGACCAAGGCCCATCACAGCGGTCACGTGAGTCTGGGAGGGACGGGCGGGCTGCCAGGGCTCAGGACACTGCTGGGAGGGAGGAAGCACCTGGTCTGTCTTTGTCCCTTTGTGAGCTTTGGGGGTTGGCCGTGTCTGGGGGACGGCAAGGCTCCTCAGCATCCCATGTCCTTCCTCTCAGGAGATCTCCTCGGAGTACCGGGAGTATGCAGACAGCTTCGGCAAGGTGAGTGTCGCCCCGGCTCACCAGGCCACTCCCTGATGCCCCCATACCCGACCCCCATCTTCCTGGCGCCGCCTGGGTACTGCCCACCAGGCTCAGCAAGCGAGCCCGTCCCGCGGCCACAGAGGGACCCGGACCGCCTTCAAGCAGGTGGCCTCTAACCTGGCAGCCTGGCCCTCTCTCCCTTGTGGCCCCGTCACCCAACACCCTCCAGGCCGAAACTTCCCTCGGAAGGGCCCTCCCAGGTGACCAGAAGGTGGCTCAGGTTGCTGGGTCCCCACCAGGGCAGTGGCCACTGCTGGGCCCGCTCTCAGGCCCCAGGGCTGTCGGCTGCAGTGCCCACGGCGGCCACAGGGCGGAGCCACCCATCCTGCTGGTTGCGTGGGGCGGGCGCTGCTGGCTCCCCACCTTGTCCCTGCCTGAGGCACGTGCCCGGTAAGAGCACCCACGTGACCGAGCAAGTGCTGCAGCTGGGGTTTGGGGTCCTGCACCAGCACCCCCATACCTGCTCCCAGACAGGCAGGCGCAGGCAGCCCTGTCCCAGAAAAGGAGCTGGGGGGTGGGGGCAGGTAAAGGACAGGCCGCTCCCGGGCCAGCACTCGCTGACCAGAGCCCTCTCGGCTTCTAGTGCCCGGGGGGGCGGAACCCCTGGACAGGGGTGTCCCAGTTCCTGCAGACGTCTCAGAAGATCATCCAGTTTGCTTCGGGGAAGGAACCCCAGCCAGGGGAGACTGTCATTTATGTGGCCGGTGCCTTCGACCTGTTCCGTATCCTCTGGGACCAAGGGGGAGGGTGGCCCCCGCTTTGGCCCTGTGGGCCCCTCTGGGTCATGGGACCTGAGAGGCCTCCCTGACTCCTCGCAGCTCCCAGAGTGGGGTGGAGCTCAGGGGAACCCGCCGGAGCCCCCGGTCCTGCGGGGCGCCTCTCCTCCTGTTACTCGATTCTTAACCTGGGCACAGACATCGGCCACGTGGACTTCCTGGAGAAGGTGCACGGCCTGGCCAAGAGGCCGTATGTCATCGCCGGCTTGCATTTTGACCAGGTCTCGCTCCCCGGCCGGCTGATAGGGTGTGGGCGCGCTGGGGGGCTCCTGGGGCTGAGGTTGGGCACAGGTGGCTCACAGGAGTGAGGCCTGGGGAGCTGATGGAGGTGGGGGAGGCAGGGGCCTCTTTCTGGGGACTGGGGCTTCCCCGCGCTGCCCCGTCTGCCGGAGGCTGCCTGCTCACTGGAGCTCACTGTGGCCCTAGGAGGTCAACCACTACAAGGGGAAGAACTACCCCATCATGAACCTTCACGAGCGGACCCTGAGCGTGCTGGCCTGCCGGGTATGGACCACTGCGGGGGCACCGGGTGGGGTCCCCTGCCCAGGCTGCGGGGGAGGAGGGGGTGGGTATTCAGGAGCCTTGGGCTTCTGGCCAGCCAGCCCCGCCAGGCTGCTCCCTACCCCCAGCCTTGCTTCCTTAGCAGTGAGCACTTTCGTCCATCAACCTGGGGCCTAGTGGGGTCTTAGCTGACCATCTGTGCTCCCTGTCCCCGTAGTACGTGTCAGAAGTGGTGATCGGGGCCCCCTATGCGGTCACAGCAGAGCTCCTGGACCACTTCAAGGTGAGGCTCCTGGTGGACCAGGTCCCAGGGAGGGCCCTCTGAGTGCAAGGCACCAGGCTCCCTCACCCCTGCTCCCTCCCTAGGTGGACCTGGTATGTCACGGGAAGACAGAAATCGTGCCGGACAAGGATGGCTCAGATCCTTACCAGGTGGGTTGTGCTGGGTCCTTGCTGGGCACAAGGTGGCCGTGTGTACTGTTCCCGGGGAACCTGCCCCCCCCCCCCGCCTCCCCCAGCCTCACAGTGCCTGTATGGAAGCTACCCCGGGGGGCGGGTTAACTGCCAGTCCAGTGGCCTTCTAGGAGGAGGAGGACGCTTGCTAAGCAGTGGGAGGAACCATGCTAGTGTTCTGGTCTTTCGGGGGTGAGGACCCTCCAGGCCCAGGCAGCTCCAGAGGAGGGCCGTCATTACCTCCCCCCACCCTCTGGCCTCCAGGAGCCCAAGAGAAGGGGCATCTTTTGCCAGATCGACAGCGGGAACGACCTGACCACGGACCTCATTGTTCAGCGCATCATCAAGAACAGGTGAGGGAGGGCTGCCTGGCTGGGCCCGGCGGGGCGCGGAAGCCCCAGGCCTAGGTGCGCAGCTCACCCCAGCCTGGCCCCCAGGCTAGAGTACGAGGCCCGGAACCAGAAGAAAGAGGCCAAGGAGCTGGCTTTCCTGGAGGCCAGGAGGCGGCAGGAGGCGCAGCGTGAGAGAGAGAGCAACTGTGACTTCTGAGCAGTGAGCGGTCACCCCGTGTGCCCTCGGGCCAGCCCCTCCTGCTCTCCTTCCCACGCCTCGAGGGTCTGGTGTGTAACAAAGCTGCCGCACTCCCTCTCCACCTGGCCTGCTCTTGGAAGGGCTAGAGCCGAGGGCGCTGCCCCCACCCTGCCTGCCCAGAGGCTTTCCTGCTGAGTCGCACAGAGAGGGCATCCAGCACAGACGAGCGGCCCAGCGCGCACCTTTCGCCAGCGGGGAACCACCCTATGAGCTGGTGAAGGCCTGGCTTCTGCTCCCCCCCAAGCCCCTGCAGACCCAGGACACCCCCACCACCTGGCATTTTCCGCCGTCCAGGCCTCATTGGAAGCCAGCTTTGGGGGAGCAGTGACCTGAAGGGGGCACCCCCTTTCCTCCTCAGGACACAGGCTGTGCCGCTTCCCATGTGGGCTCCCTGGTGCCCTGGGGCTGGCTCTTGGGCACTGTGCCCCCTACTTCCCAGGCCAGCCTTCCTGCTCTCCCCACAGACTGCTCTCCGTTTTGTATCTGACCGGCTGGGGTATGACCAAATAAACCGGGCGGGAGCTCTTCTGCGTCTGGCTCGTAGCCCCGCTCCCCACCACGCACACACGGTGGGGAGGCTGGGGGCAGGGGAAGCAGGCAGCCCAGCCGCGAGGAACCCCCCAGTTTAGGACCCCCAGATGCCCCAGGCTGCCTTCCGTAGAGCCTGTAACGAAGGAGGGAGGGCAGCCAGAGCCCAGTGGGTTCTTGGCCCCGGAGCCCGTCACGAGGCCAGTGGGAGACTGGCTCCCCGTGGCATGGCACAGGGCCACGGATTTGGGAAGGAGTTGGCTCTGGCTCCCTGACTGGGTCCCCCCCAAGCATCTCGGGGTCTCCTGCACCCAGATCAGGGCCACTGGGAACAGCCCAGCAGTTGTGGGCTGCCGATCCCGCTCACCTCTTTGTTTTGAACGGGGAGGGGGCAAGAGTTTGGCTGGTTTTGTTCAGAGGTGAGGACTGTGATGGTGTCTTTTCAGCCCCTCCCCCCGGAAGGGCATCTGTCCTTCAGCTGCGGAGCCGGGTGAGGCTGGGCACCTGTGGCCTGGCCCCGTGGAAGCGGAGATCGGAGGGCTGGTGTCTTTCTCTCCTTGGCGGGTGGGTATGTCCTTTTCTTCCTCCCGATGTAACCAGTCATGAGTCTAACTCCGAGCCCGTGCAGGAAGTGGAAGGGAAGGGACTGTGAATGCTCAGCCACCCCGGCCCCCGACTGGGCAGCCGCCGCCAGCCTCCTCCCTCCCTCCCCGAGCTGGGGTAGTGCGTGAGAGGCACAAGGCCCTCCCTGGGCCCCCAGCTTCAGGGAGGGCAAGACTCAGACTCCTGGAGCCCTGGGCAGCAGGGCCCCGTGAGCAGGGGCACGAGGAGGGAGCTGCTAGTCCTGCACTGACTCGAAGTGGGAGGACACGGGAGCGGCCCCTCTAAGCTGGGGACTACGGCAGCCAGGGAGCCCATGGGGACACAGGGACACAGTTGGAGGAGGCTCAGGGCCTGGGGCTCTGGGAAGTCAGTGCCCCTGGAGATGCAGTCATTCGGGCCAGTGGGTTTGTGGGTCCTCCCACAGCCTCTAAGTGGAGGGCCAATGGGTCCAACTCCCCCTGGCCTCCCCGAGGGGGGTGGGAGGGTGGCAGGCACCCCCAATGCAGGCTCTGAACCTCATTTTGCCTTTCTGCCCTCCAAAACGCAGCCCTACTGGAGGCCCCAGTACGTGCCATGAAGGGAGCTCAAGGTCTGCCTCAGTGGGGCTGGGGCCAGAATGAACCCAGACGCCTGCAAGTAAAGGAGGCAGTCGAGCGTGGGCAGGGGAGGTCCCTGCCTGTGTGCCGTGATCCCTCACAGCTGTGTCTCGGCCCTCATGGCTGTGGGAACTGCTGGCTTGGCTGTGGGTCAGGAGGACTGGGTCCAGAGCTCCCCACCTCAGTAGAGGCTGTGCCCTGCTTTGTCCTGGAGCAGCAGGTGTGGCTGCCTCCCCCCAGCCCCACCCCTCCCTGGCCTAGCCACTCGTTCAACAGGCCAAGTCACTGCCCTGTGCCTAGTACTTTGAGGTGTTTTGGGGGGACACCAAGAAAGGAGGGACTGCAGGAGTTGCCCCTCTTATAAGGCAGAGCATTGTCCTCAGGAAACCCCAGAACCAAGGCAGGGCAGGGACGGGGGAGGGGGGGCTGTCCTAGGCCAGAGGCCCCCTCGGGTCGGGTGGTGGGCAGCCGCTGCGCTCAGGGCAGACATGGAGCTGCCTCCTGGAGGACACGGGGGAGCGCGGGGGCTGTGTGGACGACAGCGGGAGGTGAGGGGGCTGCCCCCGCCAGGGCAGACAGTGGCGGCGCCGTGGGGTCTGCAGACCGCGGGGCCCGCCCCGCCCGCCCCCACTCGGAGTTCAGCTGCGCTTCTCGTTTATTGGGGAGCCGATCGGCGCGCGGGGATGCAGGGAGGCGCTGGGGTGTCTGCGCTGCCGCCTGGCGGGGTCGGGGCCGGGTGGAGGCTCAGGCGCTGCGACAGTCGGCCGCGCGCAGCGACAGGAAGACGTCCGCCTGGCACTGGACGGTGGCGCGGCCGTCGGGGAACCGCGCGCAGCTCCGCAGTTTCGGGGACACGTCCTTGACACACGCGGCCTGGGGGCGGGAGGAGGCTGAGTGGCCACCCCGGGCCCGACCCCGCGCCCCCTGCGCCGCGACCCCGCGCACCACAGACCCCTCCTGACCTCCCACCCCCCCACCCCAAGTCCCGCCGGCCGCACTCACGAGGCTCCGCAGGCGGGGGCGCGGCTCGGCGACGGCGCTCGCCCGGCCCGGGGGTCCCGCGCTCCCGGGGGGCTCGGAGCGGCGCGCGTGCGGGGACCTGCGGAAGCCGGACAGCAGCCCCGCCGCGCGGCCCACAGAGTAGGAGCCGGGCCCGGCCGCCGGCCTGTACCACGCGAGGCCCGGCGGCGCCAGCAGCAGGCACAGCGCCAGGGCGGCGGCCACCAGCGGCGCGGACCGGGCCATGGGGACGCGGGCGGCGGGAGGGCTGCGCGGCTCGGAGCCTGGGCGGCAGCCGTCTTATATTGGCGGCGCGGGGCGCGGGGGCGGGCCCCCCTCGGGCAGGAAGAAGCCGAGCCTCCTGCGCGGGGACCACTCCTGTTTGGGATCCCGCGCCCCCATCCTCCCCGCTGCCGCCTGCTCCTCCCCCTGCCCCAGGGTCCTGCCGGGTGCGGCCTCGGAGCAAGCAGGGGGCAGCGGGGGCGGCACGGAGCGGCCCCAGGACCCCGAGGGCGCCCCAGCCCTCGCAGTTACCCCTCCCCCCAGAGGCCCTAGAGGCTGCAAACAGACATCTGTGTCCAGGGGACACTTGCTCCTGCCCTCAAAGGAACTGATTGCAGGGCCGAGGCTGCTGGAGACGTCAAAGTCTGGGTGGGCCTGGAGGCCACCTTCTGTGTCGCACCCATGGGGGAAACTTATAACAGGGCCACCACTGGTGGGGTCCTTTAGGAAGATGTGGGCAGCGCGGCCAGGCCTGACCTCTGGAAACCAGACCAAGGGACAGCTGACAGGAACCCAGAGACTTCTTCCACCCAGTTCTGCTGTCGGGGTGGGCGCTCTCGGAACACCGGTGTGCAACGGGCGATGAATCAGTCCCTGGCTCGAGCCACAGCCACACGGGAGAACGGCTGGCAGGACGGCAAGCGGCGCCTCACTGGCTCACGGGGGAAGACCAGGGAGCACAAGCGGGCGGAGGTGGGGGGGGCAGTGAGGGGAAGCCAGGGGAGTGCAAAGGCAGGCGGTGTGAGCCTCTGCGGCCCGGGGGAGGGAGAGCAGGCTGAGGTGCCGGAGTTGCTGTAGGGTCCCCGAGCTGGTTCCGGCGGGG